ATATTTATTTTAATGACTACATTTATTTGTATTTTAAGGATCTTTCTCGCCCTTTTATTTTTTATCGTTTTTTTTAGGGCCTTTTTATCCGTTCTGTTTTAACTAGTAATCATTCTCGAAAACTTAATAATTCTATGTAATTTTTTTTATTTAATAATATTTTGAAAATTTAATAGACTTTTATAAATCCCTAAGAAAATAAAATTTGATATAGGTTTATGAAAAATAAAATAAATAAAGTTTGAAATACAACAAAATTACTATCATATATCAATAGGTGTTTATTAATGAATTTTGCTTACTAAAAAAATCTCAAAGCATTTCTTGTCTAAAATTTTAATTATCTTTTTCTCAATTTAATATTAGAACTATCATTCTACTATTCGATCTTACGTTATAAATTTAAAACAAGCTCTCAAGTTTTAAGTGAATTCCTCTCACACACACAACACTACCTTTAATTTATATTGATAATTTTAGCACTTTTGCCTTAAAAAGTATAAAATATATTTATTAATCTTTATTCATATCTTAATCGATTCATGATATTGGCATTTTTTATATACCTACTAAAAAAACAACATAATTCCTTCATAAAGAACAACTTTCTTGTTTTTTTGGATCATTATAGTTTTCGAAGAGAGTTGCTTAAATTTTGAAATATGGTCAAAATATAAGAATCAAATTGGAATTTTTCAAAGTATCTGCTTTTAATTAATGTGACGGAATATATAACTCAGAGTTTAAAATTTATTTATTACGTCAAGTCGGTAGAGTTTTTAAGTGATGACAATAAATATATAAAATTTTAGAAGTATGGATCTATTAAAATATAAAAATATTTAATTCCTATCAAGGCCTATTTTAAATAAATTATACTCTATCATTATATTTGATTTTTTAAAATGGCATTGGGTTTATTCATGGAGCTTGTATGAGTTTTGAATAAATTTTCTCTATAGATAGGGGATTTAGATGCTAATCTTGGCAACCTACTTATTATGCTTCAAATAAATAGGAGAATTTGAATTAATAATTTCAGAAAGTTAAATTACATCTATCCAAATTGGTTGTCTTTTATGTGAGGATAAATATATATTGATTTTACTTAAAAAATACAATATTGTTTAATAACTTATGTAATTTCTTTCGAAGAAAAATGTATAATATCAGGTTTGAATAATTCTCAAGTATCTCAAGTTACTAATGATTGTAATAATTTTATCGTGAAATATTGCGAATGTATGCTAAAATATTGACGAAATTGTTATTTTATTGAATGTAAATCGGATTTGTATAACTGAGAAGTTAGCATATATGAACAATGAATTTGGATCTAATTACGAAATAGAGCTATTGGACTTATATGACTCAGCCTTTTTATTGACTTAGCATCGAGAAGATTGGATTTAAGTTTAGAAATCTGATGACCTTCCATACATATGTGGTTATTATTTTAAAAAATTCAAAAGTAACTTTTAATATTCCTTTAATTTTTCATTGTCCTTACAATAAGAAAGCATAATATTGTTTATGAATTTTAATTAGGCTATTATGTATTTAATTTGCTTTTTCGAGGTTTCCTAAGACCTTCAATTTCTATAAAATCAACATAGAATATTACAACCACATTGGAATAAATACTTTTACTTATAATTAATTCTTCCAAATTCATTTTAACTTTGCTAAATAATAATGAATTTAATTGATTTAAAACATATCATATATGAACTTGAATTCAGAAATTTTGTGATAAAATTAATTATATCATATCACGAAGCCAATTCAATATTACTTTTGATTTTGGGTACATATAACGTTATTGCACTGCTTTATTGACTTCATTATGAACTACAACCTAT